GTCGATGACGTCATTTTCTTAGAATCTCTTCCATGTTGAATTTGAGACGAATGCGAGGGAGAAATGATTTGATGATATGAGAGAAGGGGATTTCTATTCAATTTCATGTAATTAATTGACAAAGGGTAGGTGGCGCTAGATAAGGCATCGGCCAAACTTATTATATATGGAGGGAATACTTAAGAATAAGGCCAAATGAAAGAATAAATGGAATTTTTGATTGTCGAACACCAGGGTTTTTATAGGCTCGGCTTCTGTTTTAGTAGACCCATTCTTTAAAATAGCCTAAAGTATTTCTCGAAAAGAAATACTAAGCTCGGCTTCGCCTCGCCTAGTATTTTTTTTCTCGGATAGGTATTCTGGCATATCCACCTCATGGTCATCCAGTATTTGTTTAACATCACATTGAAATTAATATACAAGACTATGGCTTAAAACTGCATATAGCAATGCTGCACTTCACCTTTTTGAATTGTTTTTCAATCCTATCTGTAGTATTATAATTTCTGAAGTTTTCCTTATTATTTTATGCAAGCGTATTCCAAGTACCATGTGGGTTTATTTAAAGAATATATCAATGCATTTTGTTCCTATGGTAACGCATATTAAATGCTCTTTGGAATGCCTTGTTGCAGATGTCACACTTGTAAAGTTTCTCTCCAGTGTGGATCTGCAAATGTTGATTCAAATTGCCTTTCAGTTTGAATTCTTTAAGGCATAACTTGCACTGATGAAATTCATTGTATGTACTTTCTTTATGGAATACTCCCTCATTTATATAACGAACTGTCGGAATTTCTCCTGCATTGCTTCTCATTATTTGTGTGTGTTCTCGGTTGGTATTTGTTGGATGCGTTGAGATGAAACTCAAGTCATAATCTGCTGCACTCAATAACTGTTTGACACCTGAAATTAATACATGACCAATTCATTATTACGTCAATAAATAGAGCAATCCCCTTGTGAGGGGTCGTGGGTTCCACTGGGGTGGACTAACTTTTTCACATCAGCCCCAAGCACAGGAATTCATTCTGTGTTTTCATTAACTAATGAATTGGAGATTCCTATTTCAACATGTTTAGTCTTCCTATTCATATTACCATAGAGTCTGGTTTTCTTTTAAATGGAGCAAAATGGAGACAAAGTCAAATAAAACAATATCTATGTCAATGGACAAAGATTCAGCCATCTTGAAAAGTTTAAGTTAATGCTCTTGCCATATTTGATTTGACACCTTTTTATAGAACTTGTCTGTTAATTCCTCACATCCTTTATAAATTAAAAATTAAATTGAAAACAAAAATCAGTAAGTCTTACTTCTATTAAATCTAAAGGGTTTATTCGCAAGGCAGATGTTCCCTAAATGTTTTTTATGTGTGTTTAAGATAGCTCACTACCATTTTCTGCATCTTGGTTATTATAATAAGACAATCCTTTTTCACAATGATCACATACTATACTAATGCAATGGTCCTTTTGTATGAATCTTCATATGTCTTTCCAGATTAAACTTGGCAGTAAACTCCTTAAGGCAGATCTGACACTGCTGTTTCACAAGAGTTCCTGTATGGAGCTTCATGTGTCTTGACAAGTTCCCCATGAGTGTGAACTCCCTCATGCACACATTGCACTTGAATTTTGACTTATTTTTGTCGTCAGCTTTGACGTCATGTTTCGGGAGGTTTTGCCATGTGTTATAAAGAGCAGCTGTGGTTACGTTCTCACTTGGTTGTGACATATATCGGAGCTTATTTTCATATGTTATTTGTTGCAGTCTTGCGGAATCGTAGTCTTGGAACAAGTTTTTGTTATATTCTGAAATGGAACGAATATGGTCTCGATAAATATTTCATTTTTGATTAAAGGTAGTAAGAAGTAAGTGAATAAATTGTAATTACATTCTTAAATAAATTGAAGTTAACATTCTGTATAAGATAAATTCCTATAATACGATGTCAGTGTATAAGAGTATCCTTTAATATGATATCGGGATCTTGTAATATCAGCCCGTCGGGGTGTAAGTTGTAACATCTAGATGATATAACCACTTGACAGAATAGAATGAACTTGTCTAAAGTCCGGATAACTGTTGTTCAATATACTGTATATTGAGATATATTTTTGACTTTGTAAAATAATAGATGTATGAACAATATTAAGCAATAGTTTACTAACTTCAATGATAAATTTTATTAAATATGATGAATAAAACAATATCAAACACAATAATCACTATCTATATGTCCTTCCTAATTCCTATAGCAACTAATAATAATAATAACAACATGCATATTTTAATTGATCATAACCAATGTTGCAACTAAAACGTATTAAATACAAGTTGTTAAAATCATTTTCTTGATTTAAATTGTTTTTCATGGATACCCAAGATAATGTATAAACCTCATGTTATGAAGATTTATCCGTTCATTAACTGTTAATACTTGATTTCCTCTCAATGTGCCAAATAGTGTTCAACCACATTTTGTTCACTCGAATGTTTATTCTTCATATGAGTCCTCTTTCCCGACAATCTGGCAAATGTCATTTCACAAAAATCACATTTATGCGGTTTCACACCAAAATGAATCTTCAGATGACGATTCCTACTACACGGCAGTGTAAATTCCTTCAGACATATATTACATTGATACAACTTTTTGACACCTTCGGTTCCAGGGATTGTCGCTAGATGGGGCTCTTGGTGTGTTTGCTGTAACATGGGCACGTTGAGAAGTTGCCATGGCAATTGGTTACCTGAAATTAACATAACACCAATGTTTAAATATTTTTTCATTTTTATTTTTGTATGATTATAATATACAGTTCAACATTATTGTTCAAGTAAAATGTTATACAATGAAATCTCTATATGTCTGACCACACCTCAATAGCAATACAATGAAATCTCTATATGTCTGACCACACCTCAATAGCAATACAATGAAATCTCTATATGTCTGACCACACCTCAATAGCAATACAATGAAATCTCTATACATCTGACCACACCTCAATAGAAACACTTTTTCTTGTTCCCCTATTTATCATCCACCATTGACTTAGGCCTACAGGTCTAAGACCTTGAAATGTGAACACGTCCTGCTAAAGTGAACACTTTTGACTGGTCACAGAAATGTTTGGAATAGACAGGTTTTACTGTACATTTTTAGAGTTTGATTCCATCCTTCAAATGTGTTCAATCCTTACATCAAATAACTGAATGAATCTTCATCCTGGAAAAGTGCTACAAAAAGGCTTCATCTTCTAATTAACAAATCTCTAAAGTAAAAAAAAACAATTCTACTCAAGCAGTGACATGACTATATTGAATAATCCTAAATGTGCTGAACATGCTTCACCAATTATCAAATCATCTTGACAAGTCTGTGGAGTGGAAGATGCAACTATTTTATTAAAGAAAAAATACATACTACACAAAACTGTTGCGAAGTAGCTTCAAAAGTGTTGAATTTTGCAGAGTGATAGAGTGAAAATTCCCCTTGTGTCATCTCAGACAAAATTGTCCAAGACAATATCATAGATTCATGTTTCCATATAAATGTAATCATTAAACCTGGTCATGAGTTATTTTTAAAATTCTTTCACGCAATAATCACATTTATAAATGCAGTGTGAATACATCCAGTATTACATTTATAAATCAGAAGTAACCAACAAAGATGGTCCTATATATTTCAATGTTTTCTCATATATTTCAATGTTTTCTCATATATTTCAATGTTTCTCATATATTTCAATGTTTTCTCATATATTTCAATGTTTTCTCTTCATATGTTGTTTCTTTGCAGTAAGTCGTGCAAATTTCATCTCGCAATAATCACATTTATGTGGTTTCACACCCCAGTGAATTTTCATATGGCGCGTTCTACTATTCCGCAATGTAAATTGCTTTAGACATATTGCGCATTGGTACAATATTCGACCTTGACCTTGACCTGGAGTTGCTATGACACCAGCTTTGTTTGTTGTCAGAATGTCCTGATTGCTAGGGTTCAGATGCCAATGCCTCAGGTGTTCTGAAATTAACACAACACCATAGATTCAAATTTATATTTATATTTTCTCTTTCTAGTCCCTTACAGGTGCACAATTAAAATAGGTGACAAACATGCATCATTTCTTGAATCTGAAAAAATCAATTACATAGTTTTTGAGAACTACAGTAAACATAAACACCTCAAAAATGAGCACCTTTTAATATGAACACAATTTCCAGTTTTGGATATTCTCGAGACTCAATGATATAAGAAGCTCTTGATGTGAACAAAACAATCCAATCTTAGCTGTTATCCCTTCAGTCACCTTTCACTGTATGTAATTTTGGAAACTGTCTCCAGTTTTATTTCTATTAGAGATTTTAATATGTTTGCTCTCTATGTGACTTCTCAAACATGTTGAACGCAGAAATGTTTTTTGACAGAACTGGCATTCGTGTTTCCGCTGTCCGCTATGAATCTTCATATGACGTGAAAGATTGTTCTTCAGGGTGAATTCCTTTAGGCAAACAGGACAGACAACCTTCTGTCTCTTGTTTGAATCCATTGTAATATTTCCATGATCGGCATGATTTATAACATTGTGTTGCATCTTTGTGGCGAAATCTTGATTGAGTTGACATAAGGCAACTTCAGCTTGCTGTGAGTAACCAAGACCAACTGCAAGAAAGACAATTTGTATATAAGCTCAGTTTATCTTGTTATGTGGAAGTTGATTTATATACTCTTATTACTCAAGACTTGCCAGATATATGAAAGACACATTTTAGACACCTCTGAAATTTTATTTATAGATCATCATTATCACACCATATCAAATTAGATAGCATCAGTCAATACCGTAAAATAGCTAAAGGGACTTTTTTATTTATAATTTCCCCGAGCAATTGAAGCTCTTAAGTAATACCCAGGGCTCTCGCTAGGTTTTTAGATCACAGTCTATTTCGCTCCTACCACAACCTATTGGCAAATATTGATTGTCACAGTCTAAACTCTACTGAATACACAATATTAGCATGTAAAAAGGATTGAACCATTAAGACGTTTCTACCACACCCTAAATATTTCCTGGTGAGAGCCCTGAATACCTTATCAATGCTCAGTTGTTTTATACAATCAGTCTCTTTGAATTTCAATTGATTGTTTCTTAATCAATCCACCATTGTATTATAATTCTCACTGCTGATTCTTTTGATATTGTTCTACTCTTTTGTTTTATTGTCAAAACTTTAAATGTCCAGTTCATCCTGATTATTATTATCTCCATCATCAAATGTGCCATCTTTTTCTGGTATTTCATCATCATCATCAACAATGTTATCTTTCTCCACTACTGCAGCCTCAACACCAATGCCCATATCTTCCACTGGTTCAATTTCACCATCATCTATTTCAACTTTTTCTTTCTTAATGTTTGGGAATTTCTTATGGCCCATGGCTCTCCTATGCTTAGTCAGTGATGATCTATATGGGTAAGACTTTGAACATACGTTACATATGTGCTGTTTGTTGGTATGCATAGCTGCTATATGGTCAATCTTGCCTCCATTTGACAAGAACGTTAGCCCACACCCGTCAAAATCACATGTTATAATAGTTGGTTTTCCTTTAGGTCCAACACAGAATTTCAAGTGATTTTTAAGTGATCGTTTATGGTAGTATGATCTTGCGCATTTTTCACAAATGTAGGGTGCTTTCAATGTGTGAACTGAATTCATGTGTCCATCCATCGCTTCCCCACTTCTGAATTTCATGTCACAAATTTTACAGACAAATCTGAATCTTCCCTCATGTATTTCTCTCTTGTGGTGTCTCAAACCACCTTTTGTTCCTAACTTTTTTCCACACAGATCACACATATAGCCAGCCTGATGTTTCCCATGTATATGCTCATTCAAAAGATAAGCAGTCCTGCATTTTTTAGGGCACTGATCACAATGAAAAACACCAGAGTTTTTCTTATCGCCATGCATGACATCAACATGACGTGTTATACTTGTTTTATGTGCAGTCGTAAACATACATTTGTCACATTTATAAAGTTTTTCATCATCGTCAAAATATTGCGAAGGGTTTCTCTGTTTCATTTGAACAGTGCGCCATCTATTGTTGATGATGACGTGTCTTTTCCGTAATTCTGGCCCATGTGAGACAAAGCCTGCAATGAAGAAATGACCATGTAGAAAACATACACATTCAGCAATATGCAAATCCATACTTGCTTTCCATAAAATGTTCCTTTAATGCATTAAAAATTGTTTTTATTTGAAATATGTCTCATCTGTGTTTGTTTCAGCATATTGCAAATGTGTATATGTGCATCAAAAAGTACAAGAAGGGAAATATCTTATATCTCCTGCATGCAATGAATAGTTCTTGTTTCCTTATGTCTTGCAGTACTACAGTGCCAACTGTTTAAAATTCTGTAAAAATATACATCAGATATCTAATTTGTACTGTATCATTTACCTTGTACTTGGAAATCATGTCTGGATATAAAATATCAGCATTTGCTATTTACAAGTCAGGCAAGTAGTGAACTCCTGTATATAAACTGTACAAATTTTATAATAAGAATACATAAGTGCAGCAAGTAGTCTGTAATCACTGGCATTAATGTAACTTTTACCTACTGTGGTGTAACGCATAGATCACGGCACATGTATCCAATGGGGTTTTATTAAATCCTTTTGTTTTTATTCATTGATTAATTTTTTTCAAGCACAAACGATGTGACTTTAATCAATATACCGATGGTTCAATGAACAGGCTATAAATTAGTATACATGTTGGTCAGTGAGTGAGTAACTTTGATTATTGAAAGATTGTCAGTTCACACCATGTATTTCTTATGGACAACTTTCAGTAAGTTATATTCATTTACATTCCTATATTAAAAAAATATATTTGATGTGGGTTTTATTGATATATAGAAGATTACTAAAGAGAATATTAGAAAGTATTCAGTCAATTTGTCAAATTATTTTACTTCGACATAACAAAAGGATCATAATAACGTAACCATCGCATTGATGTAACTGTGTCATCTTATCAATATAGAGTATACTAATAAACCACATTTTCTATATTATTGGGAACTATAATATCAAGCTTAAGACTTAATGATTTTCTGGCAAGTTTGGTTCATTCTTTTTATAACCAATTTACTTCAGAGACCACTTTTCTGTTGATCAAACGAAAACTAAAAGAAAGAGGGATTCTATATCTGCTCCCCCAGCTACGGGAGCGAGGAAATGAATACAAGCAGAATATCATAAGACTGACAAGTCGAAAATCAAACCAATTTTTACAACAAACATAAATATAAATACACTATAAGTAAGTGAATGACTTAGATTTATTGCTCTCATGTACATGAACTTTAACTTTACATTTGTTTAAATGTCTACGTAGGCATTCCCGCCAGTTAAATTCCCCTTCACAATTTGGACAATTGTAGGTTCTTCCTAGATGTCGCCCAATGTGATATGTAAGTTCAGATTTCTTTTGGAATTTAGAGTCACAGTTCTCATATTCACACTTAAAGGGGTATTCTCTGGGAATTGCAGAACACTTTCGTTTACGTTGAAGGTGTTTCTCAAGTGTAAACTTGGTTATAAAAGTGCTCTTGCAGATGTCACAGGCAAATGGTCTGTCGTTACGATGAGCTCTAGCATGAACAGATAACTTACTCTGAGATGGATACACTTTCCCACAAGACTGAAAACAAAATAGGACTTTACCAAAAGATAAATATAATGCCATATAATCTACATAAACATTACCATCTTTCATGATACTATTAGAGGAGAGTTTAAGTTTAAAATGTTTATGTGCTTGACCCCAAGGGGTGTAAATGTACTTGAAGAATAAATAAATAAAATATATGTTAAATGTAGACAAAATATTTTTGAGAATATGATACTGTTCAGGATATTAATCATATTACATATGTTCCCACATATGATTTGCAATGTGGTTATCTACTTGTTCAATTCATGCTTTAGAGGAAGGGTTAGTCTCCCTTTAATACTCGGAATATGAAGTAATTTATATTCTAGGAATTGTTTTCGCAAGATATATTACCGGTTCATTGCAAGTGTGCTTTCCAATACCATGGGTTAGGGCCACATGACTTTTTAATCCATTCAGTGATCTGTAGTTGTTGCCACAAAACGAACAGAGATGTTTTCGGAATTTAGAAGTCTTTTCTACAAATATATTGAATCAAATAAACTATTTTACTTATATAATTGTTTTTTTTTATAAACTTGAATATTTTTTGGATATTAGAGATAAAAAATTAGGTTTCTGTTACTTATGTATTTAAGAGAGATATCTGGTCAACTTGGACCCTAGTCAACTCGGACCCTAGTCAACTCAGACCCTAGTTAACTCAGACCCTAGTCAATTCAGACCCTAGTCAACTCGGACCCTAGTCAACTTGGACCCTAGTCAACTCAGACCCTAGTCAACTCAGATCCTAGTCAACTCAGACCCTAGTTAACTTGGACCCTAGTTAACTCAGACCCTAGTTAACTCAGACCCTAGTCAATTCAAACCCTAGTCAACTCAGACCCTAGTCAACTCAGACCCTAGTTAACTCAGACCCTAGTCAACTCAGACCTTAGTTAACTCAGACCCTAGTCAACTCAGACCCTAGTCAATTCAGACTCTAGTTAACTTGGACCCTAGTCAACTCAGACCCTAGTTAACTCAGACCCTAGTCAACTCAGACCCTAGTTAACTCAGACCCTAGTTAACTCAGACCCTAGTTAACTCAGACCCTAGTTAACTCAGACCCTAGTTAACTCAGACCCTAGTCAACTCAGACCCTAGTTAACTCAGACCCTAGTCAATTCAGACTCTAGTTAACTTGGACCCTAGTTAACTCAGACCCTAGTCAACTCAGACCCTAGTTAACTCAGACCCTAGTCAATTCAGACTCTAGTTAACTTGGACCCTAGTCAACTCGGACCCTAGTAACTCGGACCCTAGTCAACTTGGACCCTAGTTAACTCGGACCCTAGTTAACTCAGACCCTAGTCAACTCGGACCCTAGTAACTCGGACCCTAGTTAACTCGGACCCTAGTTAACTCGAACCCTAGTTAACTCAGACCCTAGTCAACTTGGACCCTAGTTAACTCGGACCCAGTTATATTCAATAATAATCAGAGGTTTTTTGCTATATAAGAGGTGAAAGCAATTAACTTGCAAAATATTTCGAATATTGGAATAGTTTAAGATATAATCTATTCATTACTGGGATCAACATTTAATTCACATTGAATTTCTAATGAATTGTCAAATACTATTTGTTTGTAGTACAAATGAACTGGTTTCATGTAAAATCAAACTCTTGGTTATTAAATATTTATTCCTGCCGATATATGATTACACAATCAGGCTGAATGGTTTATGATTGACTCAAAAGTGTCAGAATTATTTTTCACCATTATCAACCATTGTTTTATCTAACAACAATTATATATGATTAATGTTGTTTTCATATAGTACCTATCATTTTAATGCTCAAGCTAAAGAAAAATATGAAAAAATACATAGCTCCAAGTTGACTAGGGTCTGAGTTGACTATGGTCCAAGTTGACTAGGAACCTTAAGAGATAGTTAAGATTTATCTGAGGACGTCAATGTTACGCAGCAATTATTGCATTTTAGACACATTGAATCTTGTACATGTATATTTGTGTATGGTATAAAATTATATTTGTATTTATGAAAAAAACATTAGCTGAAATATTTACATCCTCCGATCACAGGATTCAAAATTCAGAATATCTTCTTTCTTTTTACCCCCTGCTATAACCAAGTTGGAAGCGCCAAATTAAACTGAATCACGTGATCTAATTATGCGACGATGACGTTTACATGATTGCTGTTGCAGTGTTGCGACAGCGAATCAAATTGCGAGTTAATAATTGGGGAAATGCTAACTGCTTATAGCAGGGGGGAAGAAGGAGGTACGGATTCTGGACACCTGCTTAGGAAGAAATACTTGAGAAATATTTAAGTATAGCTTAGGTTTTCGAACAAAACACCTCTTCTCTCTATGCAATGGTTGAAATGTACATTTTCCACTTATTGGGGATATTAACTCAGAGATGTAGTTCATGGTGGATTTCTACACTCCATTAATCATAAAAAAACTGATCAATGAATAAAAACAAAGGATTTAATAAAACCCCATAGAGAAACATATGCCGGGATCTAAATGTTACACCACAGTAGGTAAAAGCTACGTTAAACGCCAGTGGAAATATCCAATAGCATCATTAGGATCCATCCTACAGCTTAACATTTCAATTCACCTCTTTCATTGTGTTCAACTCCTCGATGCATTCATAAAAAACAGTGCACTTTGTAATGAAACACAGAAGTCTCTCGAATCGATATGACATAAACTGTAATTTCTTTGTAAAAGACCGTCTTGTGTCTCTCCTCTCTTCCAAGTTCTTTACTTCAACTACATGTATGCAAATGGGACAGTTCAAGAACAGCTACATAAACATGATCTTGGCTGAAAACTGGAATCATTCTAAACAAAAACCACCTTCTCTATTTCAGACGAAACATCACTTTTTATCAATTCCTACACTTTCAATTACATCACAACCTTGTTTACCACATTTGTAGTAACATCAGATCAATTAGATATTCTAGATTTAACATGTTCTTATAGTAAATTATGTCTTTATACTTTAAAATATTAAATATTTATAAATAAACCTATACTGAAACTGACAATTTTGCAACAATTATAAAAAAAATATTCTTAAATAGATATTTAGGAGTTCAGAATTTTCATTTCAAAAGAACTTTTTAAAGTGAGTCAATGAAGGACCAAGTGAAAAAATGAAGAATTTTATGGCGAGATAATTAGTAAGAATGTTGTGACATCAAAAGGCAATCTTCCCAGTTTCCTGCAAGTTAAATTATGATTTCTATTATCAATGAATTCTGAACATAAAGAAAAGGGTCAAATATGCTGGATTTCTGCTGGACAGAAAATGAGAAAGAGCAGTTTTTTCAAAATGAATGAGATAATTCTTCATGGATGGGCTGCCATCTAATGCAGAAAACAACAAAAAAACAATCACCAAGGTACCAGAAAGTAGTAACCAGTTTCACCACCAGGTGGTTAATTGAGTCAGTTTACATGGCAGATATTGAAAAAGTTCTTCTAAGCTTGAATAACCTTAATGAACAGATTTCATTAAGCTTATGAACAGATTTATGGGATCAATTTTCATCTCATCTAAAATATGTTTAGTATAATATCTGTTCAACACAAAAAAGGTATTTCAACTTTCAGGAATTTCAATGTTGTTCAAGATTCAGAATGCTAAAATGTGTTTCTCCAAAATAATTATTTTGGATTTTATGAATGAACATAATTGAATAATTTAAATAAAATCAAATTAATATTTTAATACCGAAACATCACTGATTATAAATTTGGTCCCTAGCTTAAGATTCAAGAAATTTAAAAAATGACAATGTCACAATGAATACCAAAACATTTTTAAATAATTTATCTCGCGAAATCTGCAAGGAACCTGACCTCAAACCAATCTGGCAGACCCACCAAGCTACCCACCCATCTAGTAATACCCAGTTTAAAAAAAATGAAAACTTCAACTTGCTCGATTGTCAGATACAGTATAGGAACCAACTCATTGTGTCTGCAGTGTTAAGTATGTAAATAATAAAAAGTAATTGTTGAGAGTGTCTGATTTTACAGTCTTGGTTCAGTAGTAACTTCTCAGTAGAAGCCACGCTGACATTTTCAGCCTTTATTGACCCAATCATGTCATAACATTGTACAAATGCAACCGAATCACTACTATTGCACTTGAAATTGTTTTCTGTTATGTGAAACATCCATTCCTCTTTTTCCTTCTGATTTAGCCATTAATAATTTGAGCCAATAATAATTTCAGTCGTTCATGAAACAATCAGATATTCATATAATGCAAATCTTAAAGATGAAAAATCTTCTTTCTTCAGTGGGGATACTCCAGATATTTTGACAACTAACTCACATATAAAGTTTGTGTTTGTTATATGCCTATGCTATTACAATCCACTTCCTGGCCTCCAAGCAATTAATTTTATGTGTTGTCTGTTCGGAGTTCCTAAAATTCTTGGGTAGATTAGAATGTGTGTGTTGTGTGGAATTTTGTGAGGTCAATTTTTGCATTGATCTAAAGGCTTTAAAGTTGACTAATCGTCAATTATTTTGTTTCAGCAAATGCAAACTTTGAACTGGATTTTGGCGAAGGCAAATGATCAACATCTTTTTATTTGTCATTATCATGTCTTTTTTTATGGAGGCATTCCTACTCAAAAGATAAATAAATATACTCTGTTATTAATATAAGATGATGTTTTGTGTGTGCATTTATTTTTTTTGCAAAGTGTCATGGTGGCTTGATATGCTAACTTAAAATGAACGCAAAAAATGACTAAATTCTTATTTATAGAATGAATCATAGACAACATAAAATCAGACACTCTTGAAAACTGCATATATTTATGTTTTTGACCACCATGAAACTCTGCAAGGAGTTTTAATATCTATAGAGATGTATGTTGGTGTTCTTTTGTTTGTATGGCGCTACCTTGCAAAAGGTTCATGATGCTCAAAACCAAAAATTGGTGGATTTCAGCAGTTTTGCTTAGAACTAGATATTTTTAAGTATGACAAAATATGATTCTGAGACATGCACCTTTTGCAAGGTTTGGGCTTCTACAACTGCAGACACATTGAGTTGGTTAATAAAGGAATTCATATTCACCTGAATTAGGGTCATTAGGATCGGCATTACTATCTATCGTGTCATCTCCTCCCATCCAGCTAGCACCAGCCATTGAGGATTCATCCCCTTCTTCATATCCCCCTCCTTCCTCTTCATCATCATCGTCATCCAGCTCTATTGTAATAGGTTCCTCATTCTCTTGTTTAACATTAACATTGTCCATATCAAGATCTGAGGGACCAGGTTCGACAGCATCTATTATATCTGTAGTATCAGTTGAGATTTTTGAGTGTTTATTCGCAGAATGTTCAGTTTCAGGAGTATCGGTAGGTGTGTTTTCGTCAGATAAAGATCGTTTGATTCCTTTAGGAGAAGATGGAGGCTCATCTGGAAATAAAACATGTTTATACATAAAATAATTACTCAGTGAGTCAAATTAATTAAATCTATATGATTATTTGGGTTCACTACTGCCGAGTGCTGACCTCTGTAAAACTGTCATTAAATTATATATACAATAGACAATAACTCTGGGAACTAATATTGGTTTAGGTCAATGGTGAGTCAAATTTTAAAACTTCAACCTCTGAAAACCTCCCTTTAATGACCCCCTTAAACATGAAAAATGATAGCATATGCATTGGATTTCACAATTAGAACATGTACAACAGCATTTCATATCTATCAAGAGAATATAAGGCTTTTCACACCTTTTACTGTTACATCACCAACTGCAGTCGAACTGTCAGATTTATAGCTGCCTGGTGTCTCTTGAGTCGCTGATGGTATAGCTGGAGGTTTGAGGGGGGAATAGTATGGACTTGAAGGTGGTGGTTTAGCATTTTCTCTATTAACTGTAGGTCTTTTAGGAGGGAGTGACTGCGTTATCCTGGGTGAGGGTCGCCTTTGGAAACCCCCAGAGTCTGTTAATTGTCTTGGGGTTGTTGGAATATTAGGCTGATAATAATCGCTATTTCCAATCTGAGTTGGCCAACCTTCAGAACTAGGATTCATTTGTTGTTCTGTCGGCTTAACAATTGTCCTGTGCATTTTAACGACTATTTCTTTAGATTCGTCTCCAGGGGATACACATATTATCCCATCTATCTCGAGTGCTTTGTTGAATACAACATTCTGTGTGCAGAGTTTGAGAACTGCATCTTGGATCATCTGTGTAAGCATTGCGTTGGTTGATCCCATTTTAGCACCATAAATGTCTCTCTATAGCTTGTAGATACTGCTGATTTTTGTTCATTCACTGTAATGATACCCTGTAAGAAAAAAATATATACATATAATAATTCATGAACACGAACATAATGTCTCATTTCAAACTGAAGTAATAAATTGGATTCCCTGTCTTTGATGAAATTTTCAATTTTACGTGATTCATCTGGGGCAAAGGGGTGTAACGCCAACATGTGGTCTATTGTCAACATGACAAGTTACCCAAAATTGAATCGAAATGGCATTAACGATATACCCCTTCCACTGTATCATGAGTTCTGCGGTAGACTATTCTTGACTTAGTGGGCGTGGCAGATAAGGTAACAGAAAATGATGTGACAATGTACAGACCTGGATGAAAATCATACAAACATTATTATAGACATGTTATTATTCAGCGCTTCGATAATTAGAACAGATGTCAGACGTCAGTTCAAACCACAGGGGCTTGTCTCGAGGCGTCGGGCAAGCCCTCCGATGAGTCTACTGCTTATTAATAGTATTAAGGGTGGTCGGTTTTGATGCTACCTGAAATTTGTAGAAAATGATTGTTAGATATATCAAGTAAAAATATATGGAATCCTTTCAATAATCGACATGCTGATTCAAACAACACTACAGAGTAAACTTACCTAAAATGGTAGCAATCCATCCACTAGTTGCTGAGATGTGTGAAGAACATGTAAGGAAGTGATTAAATTTAATTGAAAATGCAAAACACGACAATTTTCACCCTCAAATTGTTAGCTCCAGAGTCGATTTCTTCCTCAAGACACGTCCACTGTTAAAAATCGGTAGTCCCTAGAGTTCTTTGTTTACTTAGGTTCATTTCCGTATATTATTTTTAACGAAGGACAGCCTATAACGACTGCTATACGCAAAATAGATGCATGAAATTATGTTTCGAAACTGAAAATGTGTTCCATGCGCAGTTGCGTTCAATCCAGCAATTTGATTAGTTCATATTATATGAACGCATGCGCAATGACCACATATTTTTCTAGATAGATGTCACTTGCGTTCATTATTTCACACCAGTCCATTCCCGTGATGCACCTAATATTGCGGGAATATTTTCCTTTAGTGATAAAACAAATTACTCTCATTTTCGAAATATGTTTTCCGTTCCTTGGCAATAATCTTTCATTTGGTACCGATCCAACCGCCGAAAAGTAATTCGAATCGTTCTGAATCGTGGGAATGAAGTACTTTCTTTTTTGCGCATGCGCATAGAACACGGGATATTCGGCCATTTTTCAACTTTCAGTTTCGAAACATAATTTCATGCATCTATTTTGCGTATAGCAGTCGTTAAAGGCTGTCCTTCGTTTAAAATAATATACGGGAATGAACCTAAGGAAACAAAGAACTCTAGGAACTACCATTTTTTAACAGTGGACGTGTCTTTGGGAAGAAATCGACTCTGGCTAACAATTTGAGGGTGAAAATTGTCGTGTTTTGCATTTTCAATTAAATTTAATCACTTCCTTACATGTTCTTCACACATCTCAGCAACTAGTGGATGGATTGCTACCATTTTAGGTAGACTGTATCCTTCGTCTGAATAAATATTCAGACTGTAAGTCACCTATTGTAAAATGTGGTGTTGAATAAATGTTACAAATAAGTTTGTTAAATGATAAAATGATTACCTTGTAAAGTACTTACAATATTATTTTTTCGTATATTGTCCTCTTACTGAAGATATTCATAAAATGTACAGACGCTTCTTGTAGCGAAGCCATTGATTAGGTCAAGCCATTTTGGCAATGCCAATTCTCACGATAAACGAGATTTAGCCAGTGACGTCAGTCTATTTGTAAACAAATAACACGTGGAGCGGACGGAAGCGTGTTGATAAATTCCATTTGTGCGGGAATTTATTAGATCTAGTCATTTATTATCATTATCCCGATTAATTTTCTTCATTTATAGTAAATAGAGCGGAAATATTCATGAAGAAGGCCGAGGTAATCAAGTGGTCATGTGTTGTCAAAGTTCAAAAAATTTGCATATCTCGTTTGGATCTCGTGAACTCAAACGTCCTTGACATTGATTTCGCGATGTACTTTATAAACACATCCTGAAGTTTTGGTGAGTCTGAACATTTCATTATTTTATATCAACTTGTACCCGCCTTATACAAATATTTTTGCTTCTAGTTTAAGATGAACATCTCTTCAACATATTCACCAATTTTCAAGGTGAACATTCTTGTAATAAACGAGAAATTTATGTGCAAAAAATATCACCGCGATTTCCATAGGAAATATATCAATCATAACAGACCGAATATTATATTCGGTCTGTTGGATACATACTACCATTTTAGGTAAGTTTACTCTGTAGTGTTGTTTGAATCAGCATGTCGATTATTGAAAGGATTCCATATATTTTTACTTGATATATCTAACAATCATTTTCTACAAATTTCAGGTAGCATCAAAACCGACCACCCTTAATACTATTAATAAGCAGTAGACTCATCGGAGGGCTTGCCCGACGCCTCGAGACAAGCCCCTGTGGTTCAAACTTGGATTGCAAAAGGCCTAGATGAATTGATCACGTGTTAGTCGGCCATTTTCATTATATTTTATTTCCACTTCAAAATTTCATGAATTTGAACTAAAATTGTGACCTTGTAATGCATATATCACCATCAAATGCATGATCAACAAATGCATGTAATTATTATAATTTATATATTTTATAAAATGAGAACGGATTGCACATACTTACTGCAAGAAATCAGTTTTTTGTCCATGCGAGTGTTCCGCTGCTTTGTCTTTGTTATAATTAACTAATGAGTCACCCAATATAAATTTCTGGTAATGCAATCTCATTTTTTAAATGAGGCTCGTGTTCACATGATATGTGACCAGCTGATATATGAATAAGTGTATCTTATTTTTTAGAATCAGAATAGCTTTAGCTTGTCGTAATGTAAGAAAAAACAATCATTTCACCTCAAACTCTTATATTTGTATGTGTCGTGTCATTACTCTTCAATTACTTCATACTTTCATTTCATTGTTATTTTGTGTTATAATTTCTTTCAAATTTATCATCTATAGTCATTATATATTTACACGATTTAGACGATTATTGATCATTGTATTGCAGTTGTCTAATAATTTTCACTGAGTAAGTATATAACTGTATAAATTGTGTTCTTGTTTTCATGAATATTTTTGATCTTTTTTGCATTTATGTTCTTCAAAACAAATGGGACTGGGCTTCCATTTACCTGTTAGGGTTACCATCTTCTAACTTACATGTTTATTTATGAACAGAATTATCTAAACATACCCTCTTGTATATCTTTGTAATGCGTGCGTTCATATAAATTCCTCACTGTTGGTCCCGCTGCTGCTATCCCATCCGTATGATTTCCAAAGGGGACGGATTTTCCATTTACTTAGTCCGTAGATTTTATTGTATCTTGGTAACTGCCATATTTGGCGAGCAATACCTCATTGGTAAATTCCGTATTTTACACATGAAGATAGAGCCAGAAACCCCCCTCGGAAGAGCCCAGCTGAGTTCTTTTATGTACACACCACAGCCTTTTATATGAGTTATGAACCACTCAGTAAAACACACAGAATTACATAATGCACAAACAAATTTGTCTGAACCAGGAATCGAACCCGGGGCCAAGCGATAGTGGTAACCTTGACTCTGCCAATGAGCCATATAGCGGGTGGACATTGTACTATTTTTTTTTACTTTTTAGCGCTTTTCTCTATTTACAATTAAATTATCTCCTACCTCTTACTCTTACAAAAAAAATTTGTCATATGAATATCCAGATAATTTTTTCATGTCTATGTGTTTATGTATTTTTAGGTAAAATACCACATGTACTTGTAGTCATCCACAGCTTCCCTACTACCGAGCTGCTCTCTAAATATTAAAATGAAGAAAAAAGAAAGTTTAGAAAATGAGGACCTCACTCAACTCATCCAGGATGCTGTTCTTAACCTTTGCACTCAGCACGTCAGCTTTGGCAAAGTCCTTGAGATAGATGGCATTATAGTAGTTTCACCTGGTGACAAGAACTTCAGAGAAGTTGTCGTAAAAATGCATCGAACAATTCTAAAATCTGATAAAACCTCACATAGAACAGTAGAAAAACAAACAAAATCACCTGGTAAAAGAGGTCGTCCTAAAAAAGTGACTGCTAGCATGGATAATGGTGAAGACAAAGCAGCCGAGGAACACAAAGAACATGCAGGTAGACGTACATAAGGTCTTATTTAAACTCTTGAATCCCAGGCTCTAAAATCGGTTGAAACCAGAGAATTTTTTATTTTTGCCACCTTTTGACATTTTACTACCTACCTATACAACTTTAGATGCTCAACTTTGTAAAATTAGATGGCAGAGATCATTTCTGCTCATTTTAAAACAATTTTTGTGTAAATTGGTTGAAAATTGTTCAAATAAGAGCAATTTTAGTGAAAAATTTTGTGACGGATTTTCTCGTTTCTCTGGGTTTCAAGGTCATTTCTGAGGTGACGAGAAAACTTGTCACTCCAGGCAGTCAAGAGGTTAAAAATGAAAGATTGCCAACTGGGCATGCAATCCAGGTACTCATTACATGATTAAGTGCAATCTAATTTCACTTTCAGGTGGGGTAGATCCACATGAAGAGAATTATATACAAGTTTATATAAGTCTCATATAACTTAACCATGTGAGGAAATAACATATTTGGCATGGTTGTTATAAATCACCTGTGTATGTTGCGTGCAATTTGGCCACCCCTACATCTCTGATTCTGTCTTAATTAGCCTAATTGTTCATTTAATCTAGATTATCTATCTTAATTAGCCCAATTGTTTATTTAATCCAGATTATCTATCTTATTTAGCCTAATTGTTTATTTAATCTAGATTATCTATCTTAATTAGCCTAATTGTTCATTTAATCCAGATTATCAAACTGCAGCAACCCGTACTAAATGTAACAAAAGATCTCAACCTGATGGAGAAACAGACAAAACTGAGAATGCAACTAAAGTTCCAAGAACTGAAATCATTGACTCTCAAATTGAACCAGAAGAATCAGAAGCTGATGTTTCTAAAGCTGAGGATGACCAAATTATGTTGGGACATGTGGAAAATGAACAGACTGAAGCAGTTACTGTTGAGGTGAATATTTAATTGAAAATTTGAACAGTAACTCTTATGCAAATGACATGAAAGACTTTCTGTTGATTATTAAAGACATGGCCTGAGAACATGAACCCTTCTAGCTACAGGCCTGTATGTTATTATATGAAACCACAGCAAGGCATGACAGTCTTTATTACGATGTTAACATATGATAGTTTAATATTTATTGTATGTTTACATAATGATCATAGTACACAATTCATATTTCATTTCATTTATACATAGGCAGAAGATGGTGCTGAAGTACATGTAGGTATTGGATGGATAGAAGATGATCCCAACAAAACAATGGATGAGGTAGAACTTAATGACAGCATAGATGACTCAGTTTACACAGATATTGGTGAGTTAAAATTTCATCACAACAGGGACATTGATTAAGCTGTATTGTACATTATATCTTTTTCTGGGCTGCAAAATTCTTCTACAGGCAAATTTTTCATTTTCACAATTCACACCGAAATTGGACAAAATATGCCCATTTTTCATAATTTTTTCTCATTTTCAAGAGCAAATGAATTTTCAGGTGGGTGCTGCGCCCACTTGCTTTAATACTGGGGAGATCACTGCATTGCTGATTTAACTTTTTCAAGTGCTCTGTACATGCATGTTTTACTTAAAAACATGATAATTGTGACATCACTTCCTGTTAATAGTGATTGTAAAATGTAAATCTTTAATCTGAATTATCCTTTCCTACTGACAGTTAACAACGCAAATTTTGAATATGAATACGGACCTGAAGAGCTTCCTGCGGGAGAGGATCCTTATAAGAGAACTGTAGAAGACACCGTGGAAGATGATAACATTGGAGATGAACATAGCATGGAAAATGAAAATGATGAAGGTATGGCATATGTACAATTAAGAGAATGCATATAGGCTAGTCTATGCCAAATGTATGCTCATTAACTATGCAATGTCGCAGAAAATAACCATATACGAGGGGTGATTCAAAAGTAATGGACAAAATTTTATAGGCATGCTTACTCCCACCCAATTTGTATGAAATTTAGTACATATGAAGATCAACCAATTATCTATTAGTTGTTAAAACTGTATCACATCAATCGAAATACATTTCAAGATATAGCATATCTCCCGCATTAGGGTCCTTACACCCGGAATTGGCTTTTTAAGTATATCCCCATCGTAATAACATGCATTTTCATGAAAAGTTAGTGTTTTCAATGATTGAAGACAGTAGCACGATACGTTCAAGCATAATTCACGTCATGCCTGATCATTCACTTACATTCTATTTAATATTTAGATCATCTGTAATGGCACTTATTTCCTTCAGTGTCAATCTCCCAACTGCATTTAAGATTGCTTCTACAAGATGAATATTGTTGTTGTTATTCTTGTGGCAAGTTTATGGTCTTTTAGATCACTTAAGATTCAAAACCCTCTCATCACCTCCATTGAAGTGCCTGTACAATATCTAAAGGCTTGCCTTGAAAATGCCTTGTGTGTTTTTGATTTTCCTGACAATAACCTGTCTTGTCTCCTTTTACTACCAATTATACTTTGAAAATCCTTTGTTTGACTTTAATTGTTGTAAATGTCACATTTCTTCTAATTCTGGGCATTTCTTGGATACGTGTGAATCTTAGAGTCTGACTCACTTTCTGACTCTCTGTGATTCACTATTCTAAAAAAATCATTGAGATATAGTGCAGTACAATTTTCTGCTGAACTAAGAACTCACCAGCATATGAATGGATATTTGGGTCTTCCTTGGCAATTGGCAATATAGACCCAGCATATGTGTTGGAGTCTTTAAATGAAATGAGACAGAAATGACCAAAATATTCAATTATCATTCAAAAATGGATTCCGCCCATGCGTACCCTAGTTACCATGGTTACCCATAGCTGATACAATATTGAATGCAGTTAGACACGAATTTGACACTTAGTAGATAATTGAATGATCTAATGTCTGTGAGAAAATTAGACTGATTGGACAATGTTAAGTATACCTATACATTTTTGTCCATTACTTTTGAATCACCCCTCATTCTTATTTTGACAACCAACTCTGATTGGATCGTGAGTTCAGAGATTTATTGTAAACTGAAGCTCTCTTTTAGGGAGCCAAGTTGAACAAATGCAAACGGTAAATTTCCATGAAATGAGAAAAAATGAACAATGTTTTTTTTTCGAAATTCATGAAAAGCCACACATTCAAATTGTTTTTAGTCTTATGTTTTAAGGAAATTTAGCCATCTTACATTTCGATATGTTCCTAGAAATGTTCATATTATCTTCCATGACAAACATGTTCTATTAGGGTGTGATTCTATGCATGTATTTGATAATATATGTCAGCTCATAAAATTAGTTTACCATACATTGGAAATGTTCTAACTGCTCCACTGCACCTGACAGGTGTATTTCATAAAGATGTCAGGTCTGTTCCAAAATCAAAGTGAGTGATAAATCAGCAGCATTCAGAATAAAATTGAATTTATATGATATAGATAATAATATAATTTGTGTTTTTCTGAATTTTATGCTTTCATGCTGATATTTGCTTATTAATGTATTGTTTTGTCTTTTCAATCATCATATCGAAATAATTTCAGGACCCTTAATTATTATGTCACCACCAAAAGTGGTGACATATTGTAATGGTCTCCGTTTTTTTGCGACGGCGTCCGGCGGTTGGCGTCTGGCGTCTGTAACAATTTCCTACAACTTCCTAACTTCCTAACTTAACAAATACTGTTTAGACTGACTTCAATTTTTTTCTAAATCATCTACATGTACCCAGAAGTTCAAATCTGACTTTAGATTTAACATTTGACCTTCAATGACCTTCTCAAGGTCAAAAAGGTCTTTTTTCAAGTTGCTTCACATTGACTAAATTTTTTTTCAAAATCATCTACATGTTCTCAGAAATTCAAATCTGACTTTAGATTTGACTTTAGATTTGACATTTGACCTTCAAATCTGACTTTAGATTTGACATTTGACCTTCAATGACCTTCTCAAGGTCAAAAAAGGTCAAAAAGGTCTGTTTTCAACTTGCTTCAAATTGACTAAATTTTTTTTTCAAAATCATCTACATGTTCTCAGAAATTCAAATATGACTTTAGATTTGACTTTAGATTTGACAAATGACCTTCAATGACCTTCTCAAGGTCAAAAAGGGTCAAAAAGGTCTTTTTTCAACTTGCTTCAAATTGACTAATTTTTTTTTTCAAAATCATCTACATGTTCTCAGAAATTCAAATCTGACTTTAGATTTGACATTTGACCTTTAATGACCTTCTCAAGGTCAAAAAAGGTCAAAAAGGTCTGTTTTCAACTTGCTTCAAATTGACCAAATTTTTTTTTCAAAATCATCTACATCTTTTCAGACGTTCAAATTTGACTTTACAAGTTCTCAGAAGTTCAAATCTGACTTTAGATTTGACCTTTGACCTTCAATGACCTTCTCAAGGTCAAAAAGGTCTTTTTTCAACTTGCTTCAAATTGACTAATTTTTTTTCAAAATCATCTTCATGTTCTCAGAAGTTCAAATCTGACTTTAGATTTGACATTTGACCTTCAATGACCTTTTCAAGGTCAAAAAGGTCTTTTTTCAACTTGCTTCAAATTTACTCAATTTTTTTCAAAATCATCTACATGTTCTCAGAAGTTCAAATCTGACTTTACATTTGACCTTCAATGACCTTCTCAATGTCAAAAAAAGTCAAAGAGGTATTTTTTAAACTTACTTCAAATTGACCAATTTTTTTTTCAAAATCATCTACATGTTCTAAGAAGTTCAAATCAAACCTTCTTAAGGTCAAAAGGTATTTTCCAACTTGCTTTAAATTGACCAAATTGTTTTAGGTGGTGACATTTTGTCATGTTAATGCCTTGTGAATAATTATGAAACACATTTAGTTTTTATTTGTTTATTGTTTTTATCTACCTACAGGTGAGGCTGCCCAACAAACTGAGGATTCACCCAAACAGAAACAAAAGCTAGACTCTACACCCAAGACTAAAGTTCCGTCTCGAAAATCACCTGGATCAAAAAGGAAATCAAGTGGCCAGTTTCAATGTAAAGAATGTTTGAAATATTTCGCATCAAGCACCATCCTCAAAATTCATATGAATATTCATACTGGGAAAGTTATACAGTGTGAACATTGTTACAAGGAATTTGCTGATCCCAGCAATGCTAGAAGACATAAGAAAAAACACCACCCAAATGTATGGTCATAACTACATGGTATATGGTTTTTTAGTGGCTGGGTCAAAATATTGATGTCCGTCAAAAAACATTATTATGTAGGTCTTGACCCCCTCCCTTTTCTAACGAAAGTCAAATTGTTGATGAAATTTTGTTTTATGAAATTACCACTAATTATTTGCTTCACTAGTCAAATAGGATTCTCAATTTTTTTAGTATGAATGTTGATGATTTGCTTTATGAATGCAACTGTTGATGCCTAGAACATTTCCAATAGAAACAGATTCAGTTGGTCCTTTCACTTTTTGATAGGCGGTACCATTGTGAAAAGTGAATACAGAAATTGCAGGAGATGAACCCTGGGAAACTGAAAATCGATTTATGTCACCTAATTAAATAGCGTTCTAACTCCTCCTCTAACGTAGTTAATTTCGGTTTTTGATGGACATCGATGTTTTGACAAGCCTCTTAATTCGTCTTATCATTAATGAAAATAAATTATATTGAGTAAAAAAAATAACAAGTATTAAGACTTTCAATTGCCATTTGAGATTTGTCAAAAAGAATTGTATATGCTGCAATTATAATTCTGAATCCCAGAGACTTCTACAGATTTACAGATATATATGTAAAAATAATTTTTCTATAAAATCTTGGTGAGATACAAGTACAGTGAAACCTGTATATATTAACACCTCTCTAATCTGAACACCTCACTGTGAACACTTTTTCTTGACTTATATGTTTATAAAACATTGAAAAATGAACACCTGCTAATCCAAACACATTTGATTTTGATTGGTCCCAGAGGTGTTTCGATTGGTCAGGTTTTACTGTAGTTGCTTTCCTGCTTCACGCTTGGTTACATCTACAGGGTGTGCCAAAAATGAACCGAGCGGTGCAGCTTATATCAGAGCGGTGGTAGTACCACCAAGTACAATGTACTTGTAATGGAGACTACTATAGAATCTAGTATATGTGTACATGTATATCTGAACAGTATTATATATTTTTATGTAAAATTGTCCAAAAATGACACAAAAGTATCGAGTAAGATTAGATATCTTAATCAGTAATTTATTTTACATTTTATAAATGAACAGTAAAACGCTGTATAAACTGATAATGAATTAATATTTATAAGGTTTTCCTTGTCAGAACTTTTGTTAAAATAGGGGCCTAGATTATTTCCTGTTTGAATAAAACAACTGTATATAATAAACTACTGTATATTAACACTAATGAAATACTAAGTATTTTATTGTAAATCTTTTATTGTATTTAATTGTATGTACACGTATACATTTTTGTACACAGATGCATGTTTTACTGGAAGTATCTGTATAATTGTTTTTAATTAATTTGAAACATGAAATATGTAATTTAATCGCAAAGTTAAAAACATTGTACGTTTTATGTGATGCGTAATATATGTTTCAATATATAAGTCAAAATATACAGGGTGTTCATACAGTCTCTTTACAATTACAATACAAACTCCAGGCCCGTAAGACACTTTTCTCCAAGGGGGGTGCGGTTTTTACTAAAGAGAATATAAAATTTTGCTGCGTAAATCAAAATCAAAAAGTCAGAGGGGGGGGGGGGGGGGGTCATTACTCCCTATAACGGTTTGGAATTAACAAATGCAACTTCAAAATGTTCCAATTGTTTTTTTGGGGGGGGGGTGTGAGGAGTGGTCCACTCCCCCTAGAAAATTTTACAGTTTTGAGATGCTATTTGGTGCTTTTTTGGCACTTTCAAAGTGTATGAGTCAATAAGAAAAATGTGAATTTTTTTTCAAATTCTTTTGGGGGTGTCAAAAAGGATGAGAGGGTGAAGTAGGGTGGGGTGCCAGAGGGGGAGCAAGGGGTTGTCCCCCAGGAACACTGACCATATCAAGGTGCTATTTGATGATGTCTGGGCACTTAAAAAGTGTCTGAGACAATACATGAAATTCAGAATATTTTCTTTAGTTTGAGGGGGATGTGAGGGGTGATTAACTCTCCTAGAAAATTTTACAATTTAAAGATGATATGTGGTGCTTCTGGGCACTTTTAAAGTGTATTAGTCAATAAAAACATTGAAAAACAATCACATTTTTTTCAAATTTTGGGGGTGTCAGAGGGGAGTGACGGGTGCCAGAGAGGGAGATGGGGTTGGGATGCCAGAGGGGGAGCAAGTGTTTGTCCCCCATATCTGTCCCCCAGAAACATTTACAATATCAAGGTGCTATTCGATGAAGTCTGGGCACTTTAAAAGTGTCTGTGCCTAAAAGTGCCTATTTCCCAAGAAAAGTTTACAATTTTAAGATGCTATTTGGTGCTTTCTGGGCACTTTCAAAGTGTATGAGTCAATAAAAAATTTAAAAAATCTTAATTTCTTTTTCAATTTTTTTTTTTTTAGGGGGGGGGGTGTCAAGGGCGGGGGGTGGAGTGGGGATGCCAGAGGGCGAGTAAGTGTTAGTCTCCCAGAATCATTAACTATACCAAGGAGCTATTTGATGATGTCAATACATAAGAGACAATACATAAAACAAATTCAGAACTTTTCCATTGTTTTGTTTGGGGTGTGAGGGGTGGCCCACTCTCCCTAGAAAATTTCACAATTATACGACGCTATTTGGTGCTTTCTGGGCACTTTCAAAGTGTATGAGTCAATTAAAGAATTTGAGAAAATCACAACTTTTATCCAATTGTTCTTTTTTGGGGAGGGGGGGTCAATGGGGGGGGGGGGGGCAGAGGGGGAGGTGGGGTGGGGATGCAAGTGCAAGATGCAAGAGGGGGAGCAAGTGTTAGTCCCCCAGAAACACTAACTATATTAAGGAGCTATTTGATGATGTCTGGGCACTTTAGTGTCTGAGACAAAACACATAAATTAAGATTTTTTCCATTGCCCCTAGAATACCCCTAGAAAATTTTACAATTTTAAGATGCTATTTGGTGCTTTCTGGGTACTTTCAAAGTGTATGAGTCAATGAAAAAAGATTACAAAAAAATATTTTTCAAAAAAAGATTTTCAAAAAAAAATTTTTACATTTTTTTTTTTTGGGGGGGGGTGACAAAGGGGGGTGCGATCGCACCCATCGCACCCCCCCATCTGACGGCCCTGAACTCTTATCTGTGTAAAGTGTTAAGATTCTTCAAAGACACCCTGTATTGCTGTGTCGGGCATCAATAAGTTTGCCTTGTCCCTATTAATAAAGCTGTTAGTTTAGTATTTTGATGTCTGTCCATATATCTGAGACTAACATAATGATGGTCTCAGCATATATTTAGAAATTTTTTTAAATAATTCATTCAACAGCCAATCTGAGCCAAGGAACATTAAATCTGGAATAATATATACGAGAATATATATGTTTCAATTGAAAAAATATAAATGTAAAATATATGTTTTTCTAGAATGCATTCCACACAAGATCATTAACTTATTTTAAGTTAAATCCAAGATATTATATATCATTTGCTATCAATAATACAGTACATTTACATGGACATTTATATTCTATTTACATTTGTACATTTGTTCTTACAATTAAAATAGCCACCAATTCCCCTCCGCCACCCAACTTGTGAATTAAAGATATATAGATAATATTATTTACATCCAGCACGAAACATGTTTTTTTTGTCCAATTCACAGCAAGCAGTTCTAAGGAGCATCACCGAACAATATGTGTACAGCTTCGAGGTACGTTCGTGTTTTTTATGCAAATCGTTTTAATCTGTTTGGGAAGGGCAGGATTCATCCTCCAATTCACGTAGTAATTTTTCTCTATATGCATATGGAAATGCTTAATTCAATACTAAAACACCCGTTCCTCTATATCTTCTTGATCGGATGCTACGGGAACGTAGCATACACTGTTCAGCCTTTCGCTTGAAGATGATGAAGTAAATTCCAAGTGCTATCAGAATGGCCACTACTACCAGTGACACCACTACTCCTGCAATCATTCCGGTGTCTTGCGAGTCGTTCGATTTACTTGGATTCGATATAGCCGTGCCATTTGATGCGTTAGTCGGTGGTGATATATGTACTGATGGTGTTGGTACAGTTGAAACTGGTGTTGGTGTTATTGTAGGTACAGTTTGTGCTCGTTTCGGTACTGGTGTTGTTGTAAGTGCCGATGTTGTTAGTACCGGGATTGATTCTGAAGTTGTTATTTCTTGCGTTATCAGTGACATAGATGTAAGTGGCGGTGATGGTGCTGATTTTGATACTGACTTTGCTTCTATTTGTGTTGATGACGACGTCCTAAGTACTGGCGTTGGTACTGGCGTTAATACTACTTTTGATGATACCGACGTCGTTAATGCTGGAGTTGGTACTGGCGTCGACATTGCTTGTGTTGGTACTGGCGTTGCTGGAAGTTGAGTTGGTACAGATGTTGATAATACTGATGCTCTTGAGAGTCCCATGCTTGGTTGGTTGGTGGTTATATGTGTAACATTCATTTGTGTGTTCGACTCATTTGGGACAGCACTACATGATGTTTCAACTGTTGCTTTACACATACTTGCAGTTGGGGCTGCAGGTGGTTGTACTTCTGCAAGGGTCCTGCTACAGTTTGCCATTGTGGCATTCGGGCAATTATGAAGAAAAGCTTCCCATTCTTTGAGTCCTGTTACAGTTTTATCAGATAAGCAATTATTTGTGGCGTAAAATCCGTTTAACCATTTTTTCAGCCAAATATATGAACAATTACACGGAATCTTGGTGTATGGGAAGTAAAAACCGGTCAGATTTGTGAACGCCCTTATCATACATTGGTTAATGCTTTCTATTTTATTGCTTCCAACGTTCAGTCTATTTAGTGTATTCTCAAGTCCTACTAAGGCATTATCATCTATATTAGTGATTTTTCCTCCTTGAAGTGACAATTTCGTGAGTGATGTCAAGCCAGAGAATGCATATGCCGAGACGTTCCTAAAAAGGTTATTGTGCAGATATAGTGCTTTCAAATTTGCCAGGCGATTCAGGGCACCAGAGGGGATCTCTGTGAGGTAGTTTAGCCCCAAGTTCAACACTTCAAGTGTACACTCCAACGCGGCAAACGCATCGATTGGTACAGGATTTGAATTAGCTAATTCATTATGTGATAAGTCAATGGTCTTCAATCGTGTGTTGCTCTTGAAAGCATTCGCTGGAATCATTTTGATATAGTTATATGACAGTGTTAGCATCTCAAGGGACTCCAAGACACTTAGCGCTTGAGTTGGTATATCTCTCAATCGGTTTCCATGCATCTCTAGATTTGTCAAACACCCCAATCCCTCAAAAGCCTGATCTTCAATTGTCTCAATATTATTCTTATCCAGATCAATCCTTAGTAGCTGTGTAAGACCTTTGAATGTGTTACTGCTAACCACAAAAATTGAATTGTAATCCAATAATATTTCTCTCATTTTTGTAAGTGTTAAGATACTCGCTGGTATTCTATCTAAATCATTGTGACTTAATGATAAATTCTTCAGTGTGCTGTTCAGAGAATCAAATACGTCGTTAGGGGCATGTTCTATTTGGTTATAAGCTAAACTTACTAATTCAATGTTATTCGTTGTTAGGGAATACAACTTCTTTAATATTCTATCTCTGATATTGTTACAACGTACTTCAGTGTGATTCTCCACTGATTCACATTTACAAGTATATTCCCCAAATCTGCAAGTCTCTTGGCAACTCCCAGAAATGACTGCACCCATGAAGACTAGCATGGATAATGCTGTTGAATACGTCATGTTGATCTGTAATTTAAAAAGAAAACAGTTTCATATCACGTATACCGATATGTCTTTTATATGGGTATAGAGCGACACCATCCATACATACAATTTTGCATGCCCTTAACAGCTTAAGCAAAGGGGGGGGGGGCGAGAATTAATATACATGTACCTTCAGCATGGATGGTAAGGGTGTCCTGCAGCCAATTTATGTAATTATTGAAGCCTAGAAAATTGGTTACAATTTATAGTACAGAAAGCGAATGAATTTTAGGCCAATCTTGACGATTATTTTTAAACCATTCCAAGGCATTCTGAGCCAAAATTTCCGATAATTTGAAATTTTGAAATTTGTCAGATAGCAAACTGAAATGGGTTTGAACCCCCTCCCCCTAACTAGATTTATTTAGTTTTCTATCCGACATCGAACTTTTAATGCCTCCCCTTACACCAATGTAGTTCATTCACTTTCGAACTTGTCATTCGTCCAAGTCTTGATTGTGAAAATTGAACATTGATTTTAAATATTCTAATCTAGGGTTACTATAGATGAGGATAGCAGCCAGATATCAGTCTAAATCAAGTCATTGAGTACGTGCAGATTTGGAACTCAGATTGCATTTTTAGTACTTATGTGATTGGTTTCTATTGAAAGCCCATGGTTAAACGGGGAAACCGTGAAAATATATATGCCGACGATACAGGAAGAATTCAGTAGTGAATATCATATTCAAGTTAATTTCATCGTCCATTTGAGTTAGTCTCATCTTTTTCTTAAAATCAAACGGTTTCGGAAAAAGTTGTAAATAATAAAATAATAATTATTTGATAATGTTACATGCCTGATTATTTATTTTACTTGTTTACGATCAAAACCTAATTAGTTTAGGCCCATTGGCCAGGTTTGACAGTGGTGTCTATCAACCAATGCATGAAACTGTACCTTTATGTATTTAAACTTCAATTGCGCATCAAAATACGAACACGTGCTATGTATGTAACCAAATGTGTGATCATTCAAAATATAAAATTAAACCTATTTTACCTTTTCTGTCAAAAATGTGTGTAGGTCAGGCTAGGCACTACATGCACATTGCACATGCAGCCAGTGGTATAGGTTGATAGTCAATCCAGACGCTGTATCCTGTGGTTAGTTCAGATATCTTCAGAAGAATTTTTGGATGTGTTAAGTTTCAAGCCGACATCTTTTTGTTTAAATGGTTCGAGGTCGTAACATTTTGCATTTAAAGTTGTTTTTGATCCTTTTTAAATTCATCAGGTCTCTATGCCCCGTCGAGTTATTATTGATGACATATTTAAAGAATTAAAATATTTTGTGTTAAACATTTCAACTTGTATCAGAGCGGTGGTAGCACCACCAAGTGCAATATACTTGTAATGGAGACTACTATAGAATCTAGTATATATGTACATGTATATCTGAACAGTATTATATATTTTTATTGAAAATTGTGTAAAAATGACACAGAAGTATCGAGTAAGATTAGATATCTTAATCAGTAATTTATTTTACATTTTATATATGAACAGTAAAACGCTGTATAAACTAATAATGAATTAATATTTATAAGGTTTTCCTTGTCAGAACTTTTGTTAGAATAGGGGCCTAGATTATTTCCTGTTTGAATAAAACAACTGTATATAATAAACTACTGTATATTAACACTAATGAAATACTAAGTATTTTATTGTAAATCTTTTATTGTATTTTATTGTATGTACATGTATATATTTGTGTAAACAGATGAATGTTTTACTGGAAGTATCTGTATAATTGTTTAATTAATTTGAAACATGAAATATGTAATTTAATGTCAAAGTTAAAAACACGTTTTATGTGATGTGTAAATACATGTTTCAATATATAAGTCAAAATATACAGAGTGTCCATAAAGTCTCTTTACAATTACAATACAAACTCTGTGTAAAGTGTGAAGATGCTTCATAGACACCCTGTATTGCTGTGTTGGGCATCAATAAACTGGCATTGTCCCTATTAACAAACCCGTTAGTTTAGTATTTTAATGTCTGTCCATATATTTGGAAATTTGTTTCATTTAAATGATTTATTCAACAGCCAATCTGAGCCAAGGAACATTAAATCTAGAATAATATATACGAGAATATATATGTTTCAATTGAAAAATATAAATGTAAAATATTTTTTCTATGAATTTTTTTTCTTATCCGAACACCTCTCACTGTGAACATTTTTTTGGTCCAATAGTATATTCATTATATTATCGTATATTGACACGTTTTTAAGAGAACCTGTACGCCATGTACGTGCGCGCGTATCGATTCGATTCCTGGGGACTACTGTCCCGCTATCCACTTTTCCAGGACCTAGTTACAATTGTTTTCCGTATACCTTAAACTCTATACTTAATTGGCCAAGTAAACAGTACAAATGGGAGAACTAATCCACAGAAGACCATAATTTTACACGTTCACGTTCTTAACCTCCCTTCTGTATATTAACCACTTGCTCATCATTTGCTATCAATAAGGTTACAATCAGAATCTTAGAATGAATATTAGAGTCTAACACATATATTATCTCTTAAACCAGATGAGAAGTTTAGCCGACCGTTCGCACAGCTGATCTACATGTACAGTATTGATTGTGACTGACACTTCTCAAGAAGGTGAATACACCTTTTTCCCTGGGACTACATCTCAGCTTTAAATTGATGTTTTTCTAGAATGCATTCAACACAAGGTCATTAACTTATTTTAAGTTAAGTCTAAGATATATATCATTTGCTATAGTACAGTACATTTACATGGACATTTATATTCTATTTACATTTGTTCTGACAATTAAAATAGCCGCCCATTCCCCTCCACCACCCATCAGGTTTATACTACAAACCTGTGAATTAAAAGAAATATAGATACTATTATTTGCAACCAGCACGAAACGATGTTTTTGTCAAATTCACAACAAGCAGTTCGAGGGAGTATCACCGAACAATATGTGTACAGCTTCGAGGTACGTTCGTTTTTTATGCAAATCATTTTAATCTATTTCAGAAGGGCAGGATTCAGCCTCCAATTCACGTAGTAATTTTTCTCTATATGCAAATGGAAATGCTTAATTCAATACTAAAACATCCGTTTCTCTATATCCTCTTGATCTAATGCTACGGGAACGTAGCATACACTGTCCAGCCTTTCGCTTGAAGATGATGAAGTAAATTCCAAGAGCTATCAGAATGGCTACTACTACTAGTGACACCACTACTCCTGCAATCATTCCGGTGTTTTGTGAATCGTTCGATTTACTTGGATTCGATATACCCGTGCCGTTTGATGCGTTTGTTGGTGGTATATGTACTGATGGTGTTGGTACAGTTGAAACTGGTGTTGGTGTTATTGTAGGTACAGTTTGTGCTCGTTTTGGTACTGATGTTGTTGTAACTGCCGATGTTGTTGTTAGTGCCGGGATTGATTCTGAAGTTGTTGTTATTTCTTGCGTTATCACTAACATAGATGTTAGTGGTGGGGTTGGTGCTGGTTTTGATACTGACGTTGCTTCTACTTGTGTTGATGACGACGTCCTTAGTACTGGCGTTGCTACTTCTTTTGATGATACCGACGTCTTCAATGCTTGTGTTGGTACTGACGTCGACATTGTTTGTGTTGGTACTGGCGTTGCTGGGAGTTGAGTTGGTACAGATGTTGATAATACTGATGCTCTTGATAGTCCCATGCTTGGTTGGTTGGTGGTTATTTGTGTAACATTTATTTGTGTGTTTGACTCATTTGGGACAGCACTACATGATGTTACAACTGTTGCCTTGCAAATACTTGCAGTTGGGACAGGTGGTTGTTGTACTTCTGCAGGGGTCCTGCTACAGTTTGGCATCGGGGCATTCGGGCAATTTTGAAGAAAAGCTTCCCATTCTTTGAGTCCTGTTACAGTTTTATCAGATAAGCAATTATTTGTGTCGTAATTGCGACTTACGTTTAACCATTTTCTCAGCCAAATATATGAACAATTACACGGAATCTTGTTGTAGGAGAAGTAAAGACCGGTCAGATTTGTGAACGCCCTTATCATACATTGATCAATGCTTTCTATTTTATTATATCCAACGTTCAGTTTATTTAGTGTATTCTCAAGCCCTACTAAGGCATTATCATCTATATTAGTGATTTTTCCTCCTTGAAGCGACAATTTTGTGAGTGATGTCAAGCCAGAGAACGCATATGCCGAGACGTTCCTGAAACCGTTATGGTGCAGATATAGTGTTTTCAAATTTGCCAGACGATTCAGGGCATCAGATGGTATCTCTGTGAGGTAGTTTAGCCCCAAGTTCAACACTTCAAGTGTACACTCCAACCCGGCAAACGCATCGATTGGTACCGGATTTGAATTAGCTAATTCATTATGAGATAAGTCAATGGTCTTCAATCGTGTGTTGCTCTTGAAAGCATTCGCTGGAATCATTTTGATATAGTTATATGACAGTGTTAGCATCTCAAGGGACTCCAAGACAATTAGCGCTTGAGTTGGTATATCTCTCAATCGGTTTCCTTGCATCTCTAGATTTGTCAAACACCCCAATCCCTCAAAAGCCTGATCTTCAATTGTCTCAATATCATTCTTATCCAGATCAATCCTTAGTAGCTGTGGAAGACCTTGGAATGTGTTACTGCTAACCACAAAAATTGAATTGTAATCCAATAATAGTTCTCTCATTTTTGTAAGTGTTAAGATACTCGCTGGTATTCTATCTAAAACATTGTGACTTAATGATAAATTCTTCAGTGTACTGTTCAGAGAATCAAATACGCCGTCAGGGGCATGTTCTATTCGGTTATGAGCTAAACTTACTAATTCAATGTTATTCGTTGTTAGGGAATACAACTTCTTTAATATTCTATCTCTGATACTGGTACAACGTACTTCAGTGTGATTCTCCACTGATTCACATTTACACGTGTATCCCCCAAATTTGCAAGTCTCTTGGCAAAACCCAGAAAACACTGCACCCGTGAAGACTAGCATGGATAGTGCTGTTGGATACGTCATGTTGATCTGCAATTTAAAAAGAAAACAGTTTCATATCACGTACAACTTGAATACCGATATGTCTTTTATATGGGTATAAAGCGACAGATATTTGGGTACCTAGTCAAAAGACTACTTCACTCAAACCATCCATACATACGAGTACAATGGTGTATGTCCTTAACAGCTTAAGCAAAGGGGGCGAGACTTAATATACATATACCTTCAGCATGGACCGGAGGGGTGTCCTGGAGCCAATTTCTGTATGTAATTATTGAAGCCTGGAAAATTGGTTACAATTTACGGAATAGAAAGTCAATGCATTTTGGCCAATGTAGTTCATTCTCTTTCGAACTTGTCATACTGCTAACAAGTTTATTGTCTGTGAAAATTAAATATCATTGTGAATTTTAAATACTCTAATCTAGGCTAGGTTACTTAGGATGAGGATAGCAGATATTAGTCCTTTATTATATAGTATGTCATTGAGTACGTGAGTATTTCTACTAAAGGTACTCAAATTGCATTTTTAGCACTGATGCAATTAGTTAAACGGGGGACTCGTGAAACTATGACGACGATACGGGAAGAACACAATTGTGCATATCATATTCAACTGTTAATTTCATCATCCATTTGAGTTTTCATCCTAAGTAAAGTCTCTTTTTTTAAATTTAACGGTTTCGGAAATAGTCATAAATAATAAAACAATAATTATTTGATAATCTGACATGCTTGTTTACAATCAAAACTTAATTAGTTTAGGCCCATTCGCCAGGTTTGACAGTGGTGTCTATCAACCAATACATGAAACTGTACCTTTATGTATTTAAACTTCAATTGCGCATCAAATTACAAACACGCATGCATTTGTAACCAAATGTGTGTTGATTCTATCAAAATCTAAAATTAAACCTATTTTACCTTTTCTGTCAAAAATGTGTGTAGGTCAGGCTTGGCACTATATTCACATTGCACAAGTAGCCAGTGACATCGGGTGATAGTCAATTCACACGCTGTATCCTGTGGTTAGTTCAGATATCTTCAGAAGTATTTTGGATGTGTTAAGTTTCAAGCCGACATCTTTTTGTTTGAATGGTTCGAGGTCGTAACATTTTGCATTTAAAGTTGTTTTTGATCCTTTTTTAAATTCATCAGGTCTTTATGCCCCGTCGAGTTACCTAGAACTGCGTGTATTTAAATAATTTCAATAGATGCTTTGAGTAAGTGATTTAGCTTTGAGATTCGGTGTAGTTAGCATCCTGGTTGTGTTTTACTGTTAAGTGATACATGTATATTCTCAAATCAAAGTTGACAAAATTCCACAGCTGGCAGTCAGTCCAACTCTAGCCCATTTTCTTTGTAGCAAACAAATACTACCTTACTATTCACTTACGGTATTAGGAAGTTTTAGACATGTGTGTTTTAAAGTATTAACATACAAAATGCCAGTCACACATTTTATAAGCAAAACCACAAGCAATCCAAAATGCATGTACAATATGAATGTATGGGGGCTTTTATTTTTCCATATGGTACCGCACTGTGGTTTTTTGATTGCTTTTTTAGGTTTTATTGATGCACAACCCAATAGAAATGAACTATATAAAATATGGTTTTTGTTAGTTGAGCTTCTACAATAACCTAAATGTAGATATATTTCTGTGTTGCAGATCTGCAAGGTGATTATTTTCATATTTTCGGAAGGGGGGGGGGGGGGTAGGGGTTGTGCAGAGAGACATTTTTGTCAGTAAGGCAAATGTCGTTAGTTAAGCAAACATTCCAACCATTTGAAATAGCTGCAAAAGGCAAACGTTTACAGCTAGAGTACAGTCTATATATTAACATTTATTTCATCTAGAATTCTATCATTCCCATCCTAAAGAATCCGTACCGCCTTCTTTCTTTCTAAAAAGGAAGAAGATATTTTGGATTTTGATGCCCTGCGTACGAGGATGATCATTCTAACATATTGTTGTTTGTATATCGTTTGGTCCTGATACAATTGCACTGTAGACATTTGAACTATTCAAATGTACAAATTGGAATGATGGCCCATGATGCTAAGGGAAAGTGTCAAAAATAACTTGAGGCAAAATGTTGACATTTTAGGCAAACTACAAAGAGGACGACGAGTTAAGACTTAAGGTGGGAATGGGGTTGCGTCAAAACCTGGAGCGACCCACTAGCTACGGTCATGCTTCCATAATCTAATAGTAGTTATAACTGCTTCATGTGCTTACTACATCGGCTCGAATTTTCAAAAAAAGATTGTGTTTCTAAATCACTTCATAATGTTAAACGTGATATTATAGGGGAAGGGGGGGGGGAGTATCGAGTACTCTATTTCTAGACCTCAGAAGGGATGGTTTCTAAAGACGAGGGATCACTGATGATCATCTTGCTACATGATGAAATTTCCAGCGTTAACCACATAATATTTTGAAATTATCAACAGTTCAACATTTCTGTTTTGATATTTGATAATAGTGTATTATCGTGAACACAAACACGCTCTTTGATCATGGTTACGAGGTCGAAGTCACCTTAACTTTATAGAACACAAATAAGTGAAGCAACCTCTATATGACTCGAAAAGCATAAAAAATCTTTGCAACCTAAAAACGAACTCTAACTATCAATGGACCACACTTCACGAACTGTTATACTTAAGGACCCCAGTCTCAAAATTCTGGTTAAGTTACACGTTTTTAAGGGAACCTGTACGTCAGCGTGTAGTGTTTTGACCCCCGGGATTACTGTCCCGCTTTCAATTCACTTTTCCGTATACCTTTATACTCAATCGGCCAAGTAAACAGTACAAATCGGGGAGAACTAATCTATAGAGGACCAGAATTCGACACCTTAACGTAAACGTTTTTAAACAACGAGTATCTCAACCTCCTTAATGTCGTTTTTAAGAGAACTTGTACGAGCGTGTTAAATAGTATGACTCCAGATATTACTGACACATTCTCAATTGTTCTCTCATGGTACCAAATTTAAAACCATTTACCTTTATACTCAATCGGACAAGTGAATACTACGAATAAGAGAAGTAATCCACAGGGCACCATAATTCTACACGTTCACGTACATGTACAAAACGTGTAGCTTAACCTTCTAATAACATTTTTGAATCATGGTGATTCTGTCTGTCGTGATCCATTTTGACAATTCACGGGAATTAAGCATCTGGGCTTAAGATCACATTCACTCAAGTTTCTCTTATCAATGCTACCACTTGACTTTAGGAGAGCCATGTCCAGTGGCCACTATTCGCCGGAACATCGCTACAGCAATGTCACTTGTGACGAAGATGCCGATATCAGAATTCAAGACTTTTATCAAAGTTTATCTCAAACATTTATTGTTTAGACACAAACGCTACACATGGAAATCATGTTGTAATATAGGGAGGGGGTCAATGGTTATTTGAAGATCGTGGTTTTAATTACTTTATTACGCACTTGGAATGAAAGGTATAAATGATGGTTTTGTGGGGTTTACCGCATTTCGAGTTCCAAAGAGAAAATGCTCTTCTTCGTCTTCGCAACTCTGGCTGTGTCGGCCTTTGCTGGTGAGTAATTGTTTACATAGAGAGGCTTTACTACATCAATGAGTTTCAAAGGAGATGTACTTTGACAGTGTTTAAATCAATTTAAAGGGAGAGTGGTGTTCTTTATGATTTGATTTTAACTCAATTTAAAGGGAGAGTAGTGTTTTCAACTAGATTTAAAGGGAGAATGGTAGTCTATGGTGTTCTTAACTCAATGTTAAGGGAGATATTGGGGTTCAGAATGATTTGTTTTTTGAACTCAATTTAAAGGGAGAGTAACGTTTCAACTCAATTTAAAGAGAGAGTCGAGCATTTGACTTCATGTTTTTATAATTTATTTGAATAACCTATAATCAATGTGAAACAGTGCTCTAAACGGCAAATTCATTCTGATTCTGACATGGCTGAGAAGAAATGAGATTGTCATGGTTTATCATGATGCAGCAAATTAGGTTTTGGATTATCTATCAAACGTTTTTGAGAAAAAAAATTAAGCAAACAATTTTATCTATTTATGGCATAATAAAGTTGTACATGGATGGGCGTGGCACTAAAATTATATTTGTCACTTCAGACGAATGCACTGATAAAGGTGGTAGATGCGTAGGGATATTTGATGAATGTGATGGTACACTAGACACATCGGTATGCGGATTTCTGGAGGCTTGTTGCTTATCAAAGGATGTAGGCCCAGTTGAACCCACCAACCCTATTCCACAAGGTAAACTCTAGTGTAGTTCATATATTAATAAGTTTATGACACAAATACATTCTTGTCTATCTGTCGGTAGCATACCTAACGTCTTGTTGATTTTTGTTATCAAGCTTCATCCTTCGCATTTACAAGTTTACATGTATTTCTTTCCTATAATTTCAATGCCCCCTTTTTATTTGATTCTTATGGGTCGATTAAATAACTTTCTGAACGTTAATAAGTGTCACCCCTTGGTCCAAGGGTATTTCACTTATATTAGACTTTCCATCTGAATTTAAGCATAAATGAAGTCCTTTGAAGGATGAATAAGTGCAAACAATACTACAAACATATGTATTTCGTGATAAGGTTCATGTGGCCAGAAGTCTTTCTCGAAGATCGTTGGGGGTGAAGATGCCCAAGAAGGTGCATGGCCATGGCAGGGTAGCTTCCAGATCGCCTCCTCTGGCAGCTTCAGACACATCTGCGGATCTATCCTTATCTATGATGACTGGGTCCTCACAGCCGCTCACTGTGTCAACGTCGAGTATGTTTGCTATTTAATCTATTTAGTATTACAATTGCACATTTTGATGACAAAGTACTGTATACCTGTATACTAGTCTACTCTACTCGCCCTTAAGTGTTACACAGGCAAAGGCCAATCCAGAAATTCCGACAAAAACGCAAGATTTTTTTGGACAACCCTCGTAATGACAAAGCAATACCGTCGATCAATCAAATGCTTGTTTTGCAGTGAGGGAGTCGACTCATACCAAGTTGTGTTCGGTGACCATGTGTTGTCCGATAACTCAGGAAAAGAACAAGTCCGCAAAATCGCCAAGATCATCCCAGTAAGTGTGTTGGAAATTACACTAGAACATTGAAATGTCTGATACTGAATGCTCGTCACTAATTTTTCTATGTAACTTTAAATGAGTTAATTAAATGTATACAGGCATTTTTATAGGTTTGAAATGCTTCTCGTAAATATCAACTTGAAAACATTTTATTTTGATACTATTTAAACAACATAGATATTAACGCAGATTTGTTCGATCAAATCATTTAACCAATTTGAATGTTTGTTTAAAAGCATCCCGATTACGATCTTTACGGAGCTGGTATCCCCAACGACATCGCCCTCGTGAAGCTGACCACCCCAGTCTCTCGCAATAACAACGTCGGAGTAGGCTGTCTCCCAGACTTACTCAGCCAAGACTTTTACGGCAACAGCGAGTGTTTCATCACTGGATGGGGCAAGACTGATGGTAAGTATACTGTACATTGATTTTCATGATTGACGGTATACGTAATACACCTCCGTTCACCAAAAGAAGTAATTACGTTATATTACAGTATGTTGACTATTTTTGCCGAAAAATGAAATATTCTTAGCTTTGTGTATCCCATACCTACAGCGGGAAGGATATGTCTGTTCTATCCCGTTATTACTGATGTCCGAGATTATCGTATATGAGGTACAGGATATTGGGATATCCCGAGGCCAATATATCTGCCCGAGGGCCGTAGCTCAAAACCAGGGCATATCTTCCAGCTTTGAAAAATGAATTGAAAAAAAATTTAAAAAGTTGAAAAATGTGAAAAATGTTGCAAAAATTAGAAAAATTGACAAAAATAAAAAAGGAAAAAATAGAAGACTACTGGGTATAGGATAAAGCAGTTGTGTATGGTACGTCGGTTTGGATATGGGGTTCATCCCACGTGCGATGTGTACATCTACCTTCGGGCCCTACGGTCCCTCATATCCAAAACCTCCCAGTACATATCCCTTATGTATCCATCCCGGTCCCGCCTCATATCATTTTCAAAAATGGGTTACTAATTTTAAAACTAAATATAAAATTGTCATTTTTTTTTTTTAAATATTTGTTTTTTTAGGGGAAGCAGAAGGTATTCCAGACACACTTCAAGAGGTCAATATTGCTGTTAGGAGCAAGGACGAGTGTCAGGAGCAATGGGGCTACTTCCAGACAATCCTTGACAGTCATATCTGCCTTGGTGATGGATTCCCAACTGCTTGCAATGTGAGTACACGAATAACAGCATTGAAACGAATCCAATATGTAGTCATAGTCAATTGAGGTTCACCCGGGAAATTTTGCCCGGTTCACCCGGGGAAAACTGGGGTAAAATTGTTTGCGAGTACAATTTAATTTTGCGCTCTATGGACGAAACAAATGGTCCAAATGGAAACCAAACAAGGAATACGTTAAACAAAAATTCAGTGAGGCAAATGAGAAGGTGGTGTCAAATTACTACAGAAGTTGATTTTGAACTGTGAAGTGCAGACATGACTTGAAAATTACCAAAAGTCGAGTGACATTTTACATATCCTCCAAGCTTAGTTTGTTATTTCATGTTCAGCGTTTCTGTTTTACAGGGTGACAGTGGCGGCCCTGTGCAATGTAAGGTCGGCAACAAGTGGTACGTAGCTGGAATCACCAGCTGGGGTTTCAGAGGTTGCACCACTATGCCAGCCGTCTACACCAGGATCTCATTCCATCTTAACTGGGTCTATAATACCATCAATGCTAATTAGGATTCTCTGTAATGGATTGTTCCACATATCCAGAATAGAATGTGTTGGTTGTAGCAGATTGAGTGTTAATTAAAAATACATTTGCTGGTTTTACTGTATACGTCTTGTTGTTATTGTGTGAAATATGCGGCTTTGGGATCGAAATGAACTCAAAGGATATTCTCCTTATTTAGTAAACGACCCACCTTTCTCATATGACTAACAAGAACCATCTTTACCTAATGCAAGACATTCATCTTTCATCCTAAAAAGTCACAGGTGCAAGATGAGATTTATGTCTGACAATACTGGTTTATAAACAACAGCAACATGGCAACACACCCTGTTGCTAGGAGTACTCATGCGATTTACAGAATTAGCTGTGATGTCATATCAATGGAGCTTTGTTGCCATGCGTATCCATGCATTTCTACAATATGGTTGACGTCATAACAATGGAAAGATGAAATTAGATTAATTTGAAGCTGTTTACACCAAGTTTTACTCGATTTTGTTGAAAAGGGTAAACGTTCTATGACATAAGTAATACAGTCATGTGAGAAAAACATTCTTGTACTTGCGCAAGATCGTCCATTCTTGATTCGTTGATAATGTTTCTTTAGTCTTCAACTAGATAAAAAAATTAATAAAGCTCATCAAGAATGGAGGATTTTACATAGGTTCTCAACAAGAACTTATATATCCCGCTCCCAAAGCGAAGTGTGTCTTTAACAAGCTGAATTCGAACATGTTGAATTTGAAATCAGTTTCCAACCTTGAGTAGACTTGAGTAAATGAGCACAATATCAAACATAAACGGATTTGAGCACACTACCAAGTCTTCCAGTAGGAAGGAATTTCATTGCAATTTTTGCAACTAGATTTGTATACGTATCGTACTTTTATACACTCCCCTCCATTAGTTTGGTAACCGGAAGACCCCTTTTGGATCATTTATCAAAGCATGTATACATATGTATGTTTGGGATTTAAAAGAATCTGTCAAAGTCATAAATTCCCGAACTATTGTAAATAAGGATAAATTCAATAACATTCAATATTGACGGGCTTTGATATGTTGTTCAATGATATCTTCGGGTTGCCAAACTTATGAGAAAGAGTCGAAGGCATGCGAGGCGAATCCTGGAAACCCGGTGTGAAAGAAATGATGGTCCCCCGGGGATTATGGTCCCCCTTCTTAACGGCCATTACAGGCCCTTATTGCGTATAAGATAACTAGATAACGGCAACTCCGCGGAGTAGCAAATCCCAACGAACAAAATATCAATTACCGAATTCCAATCAATTATACTCATTACTTTGGTTGAAAATGAAAAAATTAGATTTTAGAATTACGATTTCCTGCAAAGCAGCCATTTTGAATTTTCTGAGGTACAAATCTGAAAAATAATACCTTAATTGTGATCTACTCCAAAATTCCTTCAATTTGAGTACAATATAGCCATACTTTGAAGGGATCGAAAAATTATTGCAAAATCGTACATTAGACGGCCATTTTGAATTTTACGAGGCTCGAATCAGAAAAAAGATACAATATTTGCAATTTACTCTTAATTGCCTTTCATTTGAGTATAATAAAGCTATACTTCAGAAAGATCTAAAAATTAGCGAAAATTTCTGTTTTCCTGTCCCCCCATACATGGCCCCTGGGGGTCAGGATGAAAAACACGGAATATATGTGAAATAGATAAATGTTGTGAATACACTACCAAAATTTCAAACAATAATATTAATTACTTTGGTTTAGAATGAAAAATTTATGATTTTTGCGAAAAAGTCCCGTCATTTTTAAAGCGGCGGCCATCTTGAAAAAAAAAATTTGCGTAAAACTATTCACCAATATACATCTTTCCACTAAATATGAAGAAAATCTGTCAACTAGTATTTGAGTTATCTTCCGGACAGACGGACGGACGGACTGACAGACTGACGGACAGACGGACGGACGGAGGGCTTCACTATATCCCTAACGAACTTCGTTCGTTGGGATAATTAGGGAAAGAGGTCACCATATAAATCAATGGAGAGTAGGACCATAAATTGATAGGACCTCCTACCATTTTACACCGGGTTCGGTAAATCACGGTTCACTGTTTTTTCGGAAATAAAACGAACGAGTCAAATAATGCACAGTTCGGATAGCGGCAAACCCGGGTGCAAATCAGGGCGCAGCATATGCCAACGAGTGCTTCTGAAACTGATGGAGGGGTGGGGGAGGTCGAGGGCGTACTTATTGACTGACTAAATAGAATGGTGGGCTCGGTTAAAAGGCAGTCTGATGATTAGCCTTTTGCATATTATTGACATAGACATGTGATGATCAGGTCAGTGTGGTATTCTACCAACTATCAGGAAAATAAACAAGACATAAACATATAAACTGTTACTACTCGTCATTTGTTACAGACGTCGACCACCGAACGCCACGCACCAACTTCCGAACAGTTCAACACCATCTACAAAAAAAACTGGAGAGTATAACAATACTTGTAGCCTATGTAACAACTTCTGGCGGTGACACACAGTGCACTGATAAAACAAAGAAATGAATGACAAGAGGTGGATATTATGTTTTGAAACGATTTTATTTTGCTACAATCAGAAAGTCTTTCAAGTTGACGCAAAACTCATTAAAAAAAATTAGATTACGCCATCGTATGGTTATAATCGTACGAGTCAGATTATTCTAAAGACGGCCCTGAACCCATCAATTGGTTTGTCGACATACCAATTTGGAAAATATTCTTTTTTGACCAATGTCCACATTTTGTCGTTTTCAAGTTGTTCCATGGCTTCCTTAAATCCTACCATTTTCTCCAATAAGTCAGCTCGTATCTGAATCAGAATCAGGCCGCCTGGAATTACATTGATATTTAACATACTAGGGACCATCCTCCGAATGCAGGGCTCCAGACATCACCGCCTGCGTTCTTTCCCCCTTTCTTAAAGCTACGTTCACAACGGCGAATGCCACGCTTTAAATCGGCGAGCAAAGCGCCGTCATTTTTGTCATTTTTGTTCATACCAACGGCGCTTTGATGGCGCTTTAAAGCGGCTTGTACGAGGGGTGATCAATAAGTAATGGACGCTTTTTTACACAGATACTTTTTATAGACCAATCCCTTTGATTTTCCTACCAGTGATACATCATTCAATTATCTTTTAATTCTGAAGATTTGAAGACAAAATATATAATACATGTTGATATATCCTTATTTCTGTGAAGGAGGTACAGGTACCCCGGGACCGACATTTACGTCACATATTCAGATTTTAGCCAGTTTAGTAAATTTCAGTTAGATTTGAACTTTTTATATGCAACAAGTGTTGTGTTGTTTGACATTTTTGCTGACTGGTAACACATAAACAGAAAGTATTGTGATGTCAGAGTGTTGTATGGAAGGGGTTTGCAGGTCAATTTGAGAAAGCATTGTGGAAGAAAGGGGTGGTGAGAGAAGGGAACACCCTACTCCATATGGACAATGCACCTGCCCACAGATCTCAAAATGTTCAGAAAACAATATCCCTGGACCTCAAAATTGAGCAATTGGCCAATGCACCATATTGTCCATATCTGCTCACAATTGACTTGTTTATTTCTATACTACTTATTTCTATAGAGAAAGGACGCAGGTTTATTGACATTGATGAAATAAAACAACCCATGTAACTGCATCTTGCTACCATGTCAGAGAATGGATTCAGCCTTGTCTCACAATCTTGAGATAAGAGGATGAGGAATTGTGTACTTGTAGCACTTGATGGAACCTATTTAGAGGGCCCTGTGGAATGAATGTGGCATGAATACCACAAAGTGATGATAAAATATTCAAAATCAACTATGGCATAACAAAATGGGGTAATTCATGACCATAATGATTTGTTCTGTTCAGCCTGCATTCTACTACATTGCATGTTAATTTAAACAAGCTAAAATAGCTTCAGAATATGTGACGTAAATGTCGGTCCCGGGGTACCTGTACCCCCTTCACGGAAATAAGGATATATCAACATGTATTACA